ATTGCCAATGTCTTCGAGCTTATCCACAGGACTCCAAAGCCAAATTGAAACAAAATCACTTGAGGGAGCCCAGTTGTTTCTACCCGCATCATCCAAGTTCTTGAGCATTAATAAGACTGACAAGGTAATCTTTTGTAATCTATTTGGATTATTCTACACCAGTACTTTATTGGTTTTAACATATAATTGTATAGGAGTGGTACTCTGCAACATTCACCAAATGCCACATCACATGTAATCTTATGTAGCCTTGTATTCTCTTACACAAAACTGGTGTGTTTCTTTCGATGGTTTTACAATAATATGTACCCCAAACATCAGCTGCATAACAAACAATTGGAATAATCATTGTATCAAATCTTGAAGCATCAGTACAGAAACAAAACCATATTTTCTTTGATAGTTATTTAAGGACATCAGAGCCTTGTATGCCTGAGCTGAAAAAAGCAGCTTTGTGCCTTTGACCATGACAAAGTTGGTGTGAAAGATATCTATAGTTATTATTAAACATCAATTTTTGGGCCTTTAAAGTATCAGTTCTCATAACTTCTTAAGTTCTGGTATCCTGTGATGCATGATCTGCTAACATATTGTTCTTCTTAAAATGCATACAAAAAAGGGAAGAATCTTGGAGGTGATTTCAATGGTTATGTTTTTCATTATTAATTAGTGATATATTGTCGAACAGACCGGCTGCACTCTACATCAACCGCTACTTCTACAATAGTAGACGGCGACAAATATGATCCTCCTACTCCTACCATTACAACGCTGAACTCAGCATTATTCCACTTCTACATTCTGTTTGGGTCAAAATGATACTGATGAATCACAATCTAACTCCAAATCAGTTCATGATCAAACATTCGTTTCAACGCAGAATAAAATGAAAACATCAGACCAACTCTTGAAAAAGGTTTCATGACGATTAGGGGCGAGCTGGCTAAGGCGCCAGGCTAGTGATCCAGCGGGCTTGAGGTGCCGGGATCGAGCCCTCCTGTGACCGGGTGTAAAAACCTTAGAGTCAACTTTGTGTGCAGACTCTTTCAGTGTTGTCTCAACCCTAGTGTAGCAGTACACAACCCTGTGCACCAAAAGAACCCACGAAGCCGTTGGTATATGACCAGATGGTGGCCACATGAATACAGTGCTAGTTGCGGGTACAGCAACGTGCAGTAAACTTTGGACGAAGTACTGTGACTATGTGTCCCAGTCCAGAGCTCTGTGAATGGGTACCTCGAAAGGATGGGAAAGCCACACTAACTCGGTGCAACAGTTGTATCATCCCCAGGGAGTTGAGATTGATAATACGACGTGCCGTTGAGATTGACATCCAGTGATCGAGGGAAAAAACAAAGCGTCTTTGAGCAGCTGAGCTGGATTTCGGCGCTATACAAATGTTAGTATGTATGTCTACAAAATAAATAAGTTAACAAACTATCATAATTTTGTTTTGGATTTCTCAGTGTGAAGTTTTACGAGAAGTAAAGTAACAGTAGCATCTATCGTGAATTACTAATGATCATACGTCTAACGGCCTTATTGAATGAGTACACGTGTACATAATTATTAGGAAGCTTAACAACACTGAGAACGTAGCAATATATGAGCAGCTGACTAAAACAACAGCAGTCTACGTGTGTGCCCACGAGTTTTATCATTAACAGTATAGTTACCCTCACATAACATGTATATTGTTAAACATTGATTGATCAAAGGTAACATGGAACATTTGAATTAAACCCACATAATTATTTAGAAACACATTCACTGATATATACGCTTTGATTGCAAAACACGCAATAAAATATACAACACGAGCACAATAATTATATTGCTTCCACGGGCCCGATATATGTAATTTTTGATTTACTGAATTTATATAATGTCTAAACGTTACTATATATTATACTGTATACTACTACTGCTTTTGATCTGTCTGCTAACACAGACGTGTCCACCACCCCTACCATCAGGGCATCTCATTGCAAACTACTTGAGAGAGGTTGAGTCCGTATAACAAAAATGTAGTATGTAATGTAAATAATGTATTGGTTTTTGAATTTGGTGCTATATGGCCTTTCTGCTTGTAAATAATAATGTTATAAAATAAATATTTTGTTTGTTTGTTTGAAAAGAAAACTTTTAAAAGCTTTATGGGTGAAATAATGCCGATGCGATAAAGCTCAACTCAACTCAACACAGCTTGAACAATACTTACAAATGCTGCTAATCTGCATTTACTTTGACTATCTGAATCTTGAGATTACCTCGTGAAAGACTTGAGGATACAGGAATGACTAAAATTATCTAACAGTATTCTCGGAGGTGTTGTGTTATCATAGAGTAATGTTTACTTCTCTCTCTTAACGATTAGTTACATAAAAGCTTATCAAGTAAACTTGGCAAACAAGACGAGCGTATATTGACACTGACGGATTATAGACTTCGGACGGACCAGGCATGTACTCTTAACACATAATGCTGATTATCTTACAACTTGGAGAATGAATGAATGAGTGAATGGATGAATGGATGGATGGATGAATGAATGAATGAATGAATGAATGAATGAATGAATGTCTGAATGAATGTCCTCCAAATGATATTCGAACATTACATAAATATACCATCAGTCACTTACATACATGTACATATGATATTTACAGAGCACAGATATTTACAACAACCATTCACCTGACGAAGGGCAAGGACAAGCTCAGAAACGTTGTATAGAATAGAGAGGAAGTTGAAAATATGACGTATTGTAGAGCTATGATTTACACAAACAGACACGAACACACGCAAACCCCACACTGTTCCTTCTCTATATAACGGAATATGAACAATGATCGATCACACACGACCGTGTAGCCAAGCCGCCAAACACAAACACAGACACGACGTTCACCTGTCACACACGTGGAAACTACTGACCTGGGGCTCTGGTAGTGCAACAATAACTGGCCCCACGGTTGTGGAGAGCGACAACCTCAACTTATTGATCCATTTTAACTAAAGTTCCGTTTTCAACAGTCACTAAAGAAACGTCGTGTGAAGTTAATAGGAAGACTTAGTGCTGAATCTCAATTCTGTTTTTGAAATGCTATAACTTTTAACATTTGAGGAAATAAAATATTTCAGAATGGCATCTAAGTAGCATCACAATTTCATAGTGATTCACAAACACATGCTCTGTCGTCGTATCGCATGGTGACAATCACTGGATTGTCTGGTCCAGAATTTATCTATATTTACAGCGAGTGAGTGAGTTTAGTTTTACGCCCCACTCAGCAATATTCCAGCTATATGGCGGCGGTCTGTAAATAATCGAGTCTGGACCAGACAGCATGAGCATCAGCAATGAGCATCGATCTGCGCACTTGGGAACCGATGACATGTGTCAACCAAGCCAGCAAGCCTGACCACCCGATCCCGTTAGTCGCCTCTTACGACAAGCATGGGTTACTGAAGGTTCATTCTAAACCGGACCTTCACGGGTCTCTTTATTTACAAACAACATTGTACAGACGTAATACAGCTGAACAAATATATACTCTTGATATGGTCACAATTGTACACGACTCGGCTTTTGGCAGAATTTCTTATGAATTGCAAAAAGGGTTATGTCGTTTCCTTTGTATGAAATGACCTTAATGTATCCTGTTTACGTGAGGTTGAACGTGGCTAGGAGAGGAACCGGGACGAGAGCCACGTACAGCACCAGATGTCAGGTCACGTGCATGGGTCCCGTGGCGCCTACCACATTGCGACAACCAATGTTGATGTAATACGTCAACCCGGGCATATGGAATCACGACTACATAGAAACACGCTAAGGTCCTCTCATTACATGTCCCGTCGCCGTGATGACGATGTGCTGTATGAGCGTGCTGGTGTTGTGTGTGGCCACTGTCTCTGCCACCATCACACCTGTAGTGAACCACGTACTCAACTGTCATATGGACAGTGTGCTCCCACTAATATACTCAGATTGGAACGTGAGGTGACGATCTTGACCACTAAGGTGGAGTCTTTGGAGTCAAAAGCTAAAACAAAGCGAAGAAGGACTGTCATCGATGAAATCCAATCTTCGTGATGCCTTGCTGAAGAATATTACACGTTCTCTTGGTGAAGTAAACAATCTTCGTGATGCCTTGTTGAAGTGCATTACACGTTCTCTTGGTAAGTACACAATCTTCGTGATGCCTTGTTGAAGTATATTACACATTCTCTTGGTAAGTACACAATCTTCGTGATGCCTTGTTGAGGGTATATTACACATTCTCTTGGTAAGTACACAATCTTCGTGATGCCTTGTTGAGGTATATAACACATTCTCTTGGTAAGTACACAATCTTCGTGATGCCTTGTTGAGGGTATATTACACACATTCTCTCGGTAAGTACACAATCTTCGTGATGCCTTGTTGAGGTATATTACACATTCTCTTGGTAAGTACACAATCTTCGTGATGCCTTGCTGAAGTATATTACACGTACTCTTGGTAAGTACACAATCTTCGTGATGCCTTGTTGAAGAATATTACACGTACTCTTGGTAAGTACACAATCTTCATCTTTCGTCATGCCTTGTTGATGTATATTACACGCACTCTTGGTAGTAAGTACACAATCTTCGTGATGCCTTGTTGAAGTGCATTACACGTTCTCTTGGTAACGTACACAATCTTCGAGATGCCTTGTTGAAGCATATTACGTACTCTTGGTAAGTACACAATCTTCGTGATGCCTTGTTGAAGAATATTACACGTACTCTTGGTAAGTACACAATCTTTGTGATGCCTTGTTGATGTATATTACACGTACTCTTGGTAAGTACACAATCTTTGTGATGCCTTGTTGAAGAATATTACACGTTCTCTTGGTAAGTACACAATCTTCGTGATGCCTTGTTGAAGTATATTACACGTACTCTTGGTAAGTACACAATCTTCGTGATGCCTTGTTGAAGAATATTACACGTACTCTTGGTAAGTATAAAATCTTCGTGATGCCTTGTTGATGTATATTACACGTACTCTTGGTAAGTACACAATCTTCGTGATGCCTTGTTGAAGTGCATTACACGTTCTCTTGGTAAGTACACAGTCTTCGTGATGCCTTGTTGAAGTATATTACACGTTCTCTTGGTAAGTACACAATCTTCGTGATGCCTTGTTGAAGTATATTACACGTTCTCTTGGTAAGTACACAATCTTCGAGATGCCTTGTTGAAGTATATTACACGTACTCTTGGTAAGTACACAATCTTCGTGATGCCTTGTTGAAGAATATTACACGTACTCTTGGTAAGTACACAATCTTCGTCATGCCTTGTTGATGTATATTACACGTACTCTTGGTAAGTACACAATCTTCGTGATGCCTTGTTGAAGAATATTACACGTTCTCTTGGTAAGTACACAATCTTCGTGATGCCTTGCTGAAGTATATTACACGTACTCTTGGTAAGTACACAATCTTCGTGATGCCTTGTTGAAATGCATTACACGTCCTCTTGGTAAGTACACAATCTTCGTGATGCCTTGTTGAGTATATTACACGTTCTCTTGGTAAGCCACAAAATCTTCGTGATGCTTTGTTGAAGTATATTACACGTTCTCTTGGTAAGTACACAATCTTCGAGATGCCTTGCTGAAGTATGTTACACGTTCTCTTGGTAAGTACACAATCTTCGTGATGCCTTGTTGAAGAATATTACACGTTCTCTTGGTAAGTACACAATCTTCGTGATGCCTTGTTGAAGAATATTACACGTTCTCTTGGTAAGTACACAATCTTCGTGATGCCTTGTTGAAGTAATATTACACGTTCTCTTGGTAAGTACACAATCTTCGTGATGCCTTGTTGAAGAATATTACACGTTCTCTTGGTAAGTACACAATCTTCGTGATGCCTTGCTGAAGTATATTACACGCACTCTTGGTAAGTACACAATCTTCGTGATGCCTTGTTGAAGAATATTACACGTTCTCTTGGTAAGTACACAATCTTCGTGATGCCTTGTTGAAGAATATTACACGTTCTCTTGGTAAGTACACAATCTTCGAGATGCCTTGCTGAAGTATATTACACGTACTCTTGGTGAGTAATTACACAATCTTCGTGATGCCTTGTTGAAGAATATTACACGTTCTCTTGGTAAGTACACAATCTTCGTGATGCCTTGTTGAAGTATATTACACGTACTCTTGGTAAGTACACAATCTTCGTGATGCCTTGTTGAAGTGCATTATACGTCCTCTTGGTAAGTACACAATCTTCGTGATGCCTTGTTGAGTATATTACACGTTCTCTTGGTAAGTACAAAATCTTCGTGATGCTTTGTTGAAATATATATTACACGTTCTCTTGGTAAGTACACAATCTTCGAGATGCCTTGCTGAAGAATATTACACGTTCTCTTGGTAAGTACACAATCTTCGTGATGCCTTGTTGAAGAATATTACACGTTCTCTTGGTAAGTACACAATCTTCGTGATGCCTTGTTGAAGAATATTACATACGTTCTCTTGGTAAGTACAATCTTCGTGATGCCTTGTTGAAGAATATTACACTTTCTCTTGGTAAGTACACAATCTTTGTGATGCCTTGTTGAAGAATATTACACGTACTCTTGGTAAGTACACAATCTTCGTGATGCCTTGTTGAAGAATATTACACGTTCTCTTGGTAAGTACACAATCTTCGAGATGCCTTGCTGAAGTATATTACACGTACTCTTGGTAAGTACACAATCTTCGTGATGCCTTGTTGAAGAATATTACACGTTCTCTTGGTAAGTACACAATCTTCGTGATGCCTTGCTGAAGTATATTACACGTTCTCTTGGTAAGTACACAATCTTCATGATGCCTTGTTGAAGAATATTACACGTTCTCTTGGTAAGTACACAATCTTCGTGATGCCTTGTTGAAGAATATTACACGTTCTCTTGGTAAGTACACAAACTTCATGATGCCTTGTTGAAGTACATTACACGTACTCTTGGTAAGTACACAATCTCCGTGATGCCTTGTTGAAGTATATTACACGTTCTCCTGTTAAGTACACAATCTTCCTGATGCCTTGCTGAAAATATAACACAATCTGCGTTACAGATAGAATATGTTTGATGTTAATACTTAAACAAATCCGACCTTTCAATAACCATGAGAATCACATTCTAATGCAAGTCAGTGAAAGAACACGGGAACATATGACAAAGTCCAAATTGTGAACTGTATCGGGCAGTATTTTAGTACCTCACGCCTCAAACTTTGAAGTGTCCCCCACGTCTACCATAAAACGTTTAATGCCTTGAGAATTTCAACCTTGATCAAAGTTGTTTGAGCAAGAATCAAAATACGCTTTTAAAGCTTTGAAATCCTTCGAGAAAACGCTTGAAGTACATTACACTTACTCTTGGTAAGTACTCTAATGCAAGTCAGTGAAAGAACACGGGAACATATGACAAAGTCCAAATTGTGAACTGTATCGGGCAGTATTTTAGTACCTCACGCCTCAAACTTTGAAGTGTCTCCCACGTCTACCATAAAACGTTTAATGCCTTGAGAATTTCAACCTTGATCAAAGTTGTTTGAGCAAGAATCAAAATACGCTTTTAAAGCTTTGAAATCCTTCGAGAAAACGCTTGTTCCATTGTACCTTCCTAGTTCTGAAATGTACATACCAAAGGCTGGAGCTGGAATATTACTCAACATAAAGCGATATGGCCGAAATTTCGAGGCGACATTAAATTTAGACTCACTTATCAAAAAGGGGAAAGTTTAATATTGGAAAGGGGAAGCCACCCCTCGTAGTCATAGTCTGATAAGGATTTACAATTTTGTTGTGGGCATTGCTGTAATATTACGTATTTTGCATGAAATATGAAGGTATGTTTGTATTTACTTGAGAACAGGCAGTAGCTTATCTAGTGATGTTGAAATTGTAATTTTAAAATGGCTCATTTGAAAAAACAACAACCCAAATGATCCGTCTGGAAGTATTGTTAACTGACTAGGGTAAGGCAACATGGCGCACTTGAAACCTGTTCCTCCACCTTAACAGTGCAGGGACATTTAAGCGGAGAACAATCTACATTCTCAATACTACATATTTATTTGGCGGGTAAACATGTTCGGCATTTCGTAAATGAACAACAGTTGACCGAAAACAGTGTAAGACCTGCATAGCTTGGCGAGCATTGGTTGACCCCCTCCCAATCAGTTACTGATTCCAGACATGTAGACGCAGATGAATATCATACGTGTGTTAAGCATTTAGTTTGTGATACTTTGTGGGAAGCAAACGCCGACGCACCACCACCAGCAACAACATGCCACATTACACACAGCTAGTAACATGCCGTGACACTTCGAAAGGCACTGACATGATGTCAATTACTGGGCTGTCTTAAATAGCTGAACAATCCTTGAGGCATTTAGAAGTTGGACGAACATGAATACATGATTGTCATGTTTTCATGAACTATCCTTAGGGACCGTTCATAACATATGGCTCCCGTGTATGCGTGTGTGTGTGTGTGTGCGTGCGTGCGTGCGTGCGTGCGTGTGTGATATGATGATTTTAAAGGGGGTCACCCATTTTGTTCTAGGGAGGTAGGGGGGATCAGCAATTTTGTACACATGTACTACGGGGTTCAGCAATTTTGTACATATAAATATTTAAAAAATATGCTTAAACATTATAGGAAGGGGAAGTGGGTGGGTGGGTGGGTGGGAAATAGATTTTGTACATGACATGCAGGGGGGTCACTTAATACTTTGTACATAAATTTTAGGGGGTCATTCACATTGTACATGCTTCTCCATAAAAATCATCATCCCCGCCCCACCCCCAGCCATAAATAATGAACGGTCCCTTATCACTCATCTCTCTGATTGTACCTCATTATGACCACATCAAATTCGAGAATGTCATTCACAACCATTCACGTTGAAGTGAAGCATTGTAAGTAAAGAGTGGAAGACTCCAAGGTATGTTGTACATCGTTACAGAAGCTAACTCTCCCTACACTACTACGGGAAGCTTTATATATAAACGCAATCAGACAAAAAGGCTTTAAATTCTGGTAAACCTAAGACCAAATCAGCTGATGGCGTTGTACTAGTGACATGTTAGCTACACATGCAATCCGCTCAACACATCTATAATCCACAATGAACTGTGCTGTTGAACAGAAGCAATTTCAGATGCACACATATGCATACATATCCATTTTACCATTTTAGAGAGTGAGATCGAATTTAACGTCGTTTCAACCAAATAGCATATCACGTTTAAACAGTGTGATCGGGAAAAGGTATTTGTCACTCTCTACAACCAGTCCCCCCAATTTAAAGAACACATGCAACCCAAAATCAAACATAATTAAAACACAATTATCACTTATCCATGACATATAATATACATTGCTGGTTATGAAAAAACATATAAACAAAATTATAAGCGTACAGTCGCAAATCAAAAGTGCAATATATTGTACTTGGGTTTACTTCCCAAGAAACGAAGGAGCCGGGATCCCGAACCCAGTCAGAGTGGGTGGGTGTGCACTCAAGTGTAACGGCTGGTTCATTTGCAGATGCCCTCACGGCTCATTGTGTGTGTGTATATAGAGATGTTGGGTTTTGTAAATACATGCTCATTTTTGAGTATAACATTTTGCAATCAACAGACATCATAACATGTCATGTGTTCAAATATCACACCTGCCTGTCTGTGTAATTACATAATGTGACAGACACCGACCTCGGGCATTTTGTTTATGGTGTATAGCCTGATTGGTGTTAAGTTCAAATTGCATGCGGTCAGTGATAGCAGCTGTGTATTGAATATGGTCATTAGCAGACAGGCAGGCAGACACACAGGTGTCAATAAAACAAGACATTGAGTTTTGTCTGTGACAACGACATATCTATATCACAGTTAGAAATTCTGTCGACGCTAAATAATGACATTGCTTTTAAGTATCGAACTGAGAAAGTGACTCGGTAAGAAGAACATGTGGTGAAATAAACAAATGAAATTATTTAAACAGTTAATTTACTGTCATAACATATGAAAAGCTCTCGCCTGTGAGATATCAATAAAACATTAGAAAAATACACCAAAGCCTCCACCGAGTATTCACCAGACAACCCGCTTCTAAGCTGCGCGAAGCTGTTTCACCGCGCACGTGCTATGAGCGCAGCCCAGCTGTTGAAACCAGTTTTCCCAAGAAAAGTCGGGGGAAAATTAGTGAATCGTTTGAACTCCGATTTCACGCAGTTTTTTTCATCACGTTATTTTTCAACTTTATAAATTGAATTTGCATTTTGGACGCTTTGTTTCGGTAAGTCCATACCGAAAGGTATCAGAATCTGCAAAGGTGTGCTTTACTTTGCATGAGACCTTTAAAGATAATTCGAAAATCCTGTTTGATGTCAGTTCTGACCGTAATCACGACTTGATAGTGATTCATATACTCATGGTATGACTTTTTAGCTGGAATCGTACGATCGATTCTTCTTTCAACAGAGATTTCTTATAAATATTAAAACGTTTGTGGCTTGTATTTACCGAACGTGACTGAATAAGGGATAGCAGCTAAGCGTAACTCCTGCAGGAATTCGGCATTCTAAAACATGAAGAGTGTTTTATGTTTCAGCAACACAGGCAGCTGATGTTGCATACGAGGTGTCTCTCAGTTCCGATATAAACCAACCCCAGGCCACACATCTGAAGTTTGACAACATCTTGTACAACCAAGGTGAGGCCTACAACAAGACGACCGGCATTTTCACAGCTCCCGTGTCGGGAACATATCTCTTTTGGGCATATGTTATGTCGAGAGCTAAACCTAACATGGACGTTAGGATCCTTAAAGGCAGCACACTGATTGGTCTTGGTCACACTCGTCTGGGGTCTGTGTACGGCGTTGCATCCATCACCACAGCTACACACCTCGTCCATGGAGACCAGGTCTGGATCAGCATCATAGGAACAGGCGGGGTGCCACTCAGGGGAGACGGATTCTCCAGCTACGGAGGGACGATCATACGCTCCAACTGAGGCAGTCTACGTCATTGTAACATTCACACTTATACTCTTATGTACTCTCGTCATTGATCAATATATCTGATGAAGTCTGACTTTTTGTGTATGTCGTTGGAAGGGCAGGGACACAACTTTACATCTCAATCATGTTTTTATTCTGGCATACAATGAGTGAGTCAGTATAGTTTTACACCGCTTTTAGCAATATTCCAGCAATATCGCGGTGGGGGACACCAGAAATGGGCCTTACACATTGTATCGAACCCAGGTCTTCGGCGTGACGAGCGAACGCTTTAACCACGGGGCTACCCCACCGCCCCCCGACATACAATAAAATATTTAGTGCAACACAGAGTATACACTCAGTGGCAGTTGTCACCACGAGACTGCAGTCCTTAGCCTGCAGTCTGTAGTCTGAAGTCCTTAGCATGCAGTCCTTAGCCTGCAGTCCTTAGTCTGCAGTCCTTAGCCTGCAGTCCTTAGCCTGCAGTCCTTAGCATGCAGTCCTTAGCCTGCAGTCTGTAGTCTGCAGTCCTTAGTCTGCAGTCCTTAGCCTGCAGCATGCAGTCCTTAGCCTGCAGTCCGTAGTCTGCAGTCCTTAGCCTGCAGTCCGTAGTCTGCAGTCCTTAGCCTGCAGTCCTTAGTCTGCAGCAAGCGCATTTGCACTTGTCCCGGAGTTGAACACGAATGCGTCCGTGTGTATGGCTGTGTAGTAGTCTACAGTGTATTCCTGTATGTTCGTGAAACTTCCACTGGAAATGCTGAACAGTATTAAGCGACACGACCGAGGGGACAATACATATACTGCATGTGATACATTGTGAGATCAGCCATATATATATATATATATATATATATATATATATATATATATATATATATATATATATATATATATATATATATATATATATACATATAGTTATCAGTCGTATCTTTCATCAGTTACAGCGACAATGTACGTGTATTTCCTTACAAAGAGGACAATTAATGTATTGTCATAATTTCAATACAATGTAGTAAGTGAGCGAGTGAGTGAATGAATACGGGTTAAGGTCCAGTTTTAATAATAATACAGCCAAATAGCATCGGGTTGGGGGCCACGAGAACTCAAGTGTTTGACAGCACCAGCATCGATGCTATACTGTTATACAATGCTATAAAATCCACCAAACTACCCAGGCGTCTAGTACAAGTATAGGTTCCTGCAGACCTATTTACTCCTAAACCTATTGTTATCAGTTACAAAACACCAAAACATTTCCACAGGAAAGTATGTATAAAGCAGTGCGTTGAACCGTTCCGACTATATCATGGTCATGTGTTTATGAATCACCCTTATTTTGAGATGATATCACGTTTTTCAGAAAGGACCGACGCAAACACATGATAACAAAAATAAAATAATAATAAATAAAATTACCCCCCACCCTCAACCAAAACATAAAAAGAAATAAAAACAGAACAAAAAAAACCTCACCGAAAAACAAACAAATAAACAAATAAACAAAACAAACAAACCCTACACTCTGGCAATATGTGACCTGGCCCACCCTGTGTTATCGGTTGCCACCCTGTGTAGGAAAGAGCTGAATCACTGGCAATATGTGACCTGGCCTACCCTGTGTCGTCGGTTGCAACCCTGTGTAGGAAAGAGCTGAATCACTGGCAATATGTGACCTGGCCTACCCTGTGTTATCGGTTGCAACCCTGTGTAGGAAAGAGCTGAATCACTGGCAATATGTGACCTGGCCTACCCTGTGTTATCGGTTGCAACCCTGTGTAGGAAAGAGCTGAATCACTGGCAGTATGTGACCTGGCCTACCCTGTGTTATCGGTTGCCACCCTGTGTAGGAAAGAGCTGAATCACTGGCAGTATGTGACCTGGCCTACCCTGTGTTATCGGTTGCCACCCTGTGTAGGAAAGAGCTGAATCACTGGCAATGTGTCATCAGTTTGCCACCTGGAGCTGAATCACTGGCACCCTGTGTCATCGGTTGCCACCCTGTGTAGGAAAGAGCTGAATCACTGGCAATATGTGACCTTGCCTACCCTGTGTTATCCTACCCTGTGGAATATCGGTTGCCACCCTGTGTAGGAAAGAGCTGAATCACTGGCAATATGTGACCTGGCCTACCCTGTGTTATCGGTTGCCACCCTGTGTAGGAAAGAGCTGAATCACTGGCAATGTGTGACCTGGCCTACCCTGTGTTATCGGTTGCCACCCTGTGTAGGAAAGAGCTGAATCACTGGCAATATGTGACCTTGCCTACCCTGTGTTATCGGTTGCCACCCTGTGTAGGAAAGAGCTGAATCACTGGCAATGTGTGACCTGGCCTACCCTGTGTTATCGGTTGCCACCCTGTGTAGGAAAGAGCTGAATCACTGGCAATATGTGACCTTGCCTACCCTGTGTCATCGGTTTGCCACCCTGTGTAGGAAAGAGCTGAATCACTGGCAATATGTCACCTGGCCCTACCCTGTGTTATCGGTTGCCACCCTGTGTAGGAAAGAGCTGAATCACTGGCAATATGTGACCTGGCCTACCCTGTGTCATCGGTTGCAACCCGGTGTAGGAAAGAGCTGAATCACTGGCAATATGTGACCTGGCCTACCCTGTGTCATGTGTCATCGGTTGCAACCCTGTGTAGGAAAGAGCTGAATCACTGGCAATATGTGACCACCGGGCCTACCCTGTGTCATCGGTTGCAACCCTGTGTAGGAAAGAGCTGAATCACTGGCAATATGTGACCTGGCCTACCCTGTGTCATCGGTTGCAACCCTGTGTAGGAAAGAGCTGAATCACTGGCAATATGTGACCTGGCCTACCCTGTGTCATCGGTTGCAACCCTGTGTAGGAAAGAGCTGAATCACTGGCAATATGTGACCTGGCCTACCCTGTGTTATCGGTTGCCACCCTGTGTAGGAAAGAGCTGAATCACTGGCAATATGTGACCTGGCCTACCCTGTGTTATCGGTTGCAACCCTGTGTAGGAAAGAGCTGAATCACTGGCAATATGTGACCTGGCCTACCCTGTGTTATCGGTTGCCACCCTGTGTAGGAAAGAGCTGAATCACTGGCAATATGTGACCTGGCCTACCCTGTGTTATCGGTTGCCACCCTGTGTAGGAAAGAGCTGAATCACTGGCAATATGTGACCTGGCCTACCTGGCCTACCCAGTGTTATCGGTTATTGCCAATCACTGGCAATATGTGACCTGGCCTACCCTGTGTCGTCGGGAAAGGCTGAATCACTGGCAATATGTGACCTGGCCTACCCTGAATCACTGGCAGTATGTGACCTGGCCTACCCTGTGTTATCGGTTGCCACCCTGTGTAGGAAAGAGCTGAATCACTGGCAATATGTGACCTGGCCTACCCTGTGTTATCGGTTGCCACCCTGTGTAGGAAAGAGCTGAATCACTGGCAATATGTGACCTGGCCTACCCTGTGTTATCGGTTGCCACCCTGTGTAGGAAAAGAGCTGAATCACTGGCAGTATGTGACCTGGCCTACCCTGTGTTATCGGTTGCCACCCTGTGTAGGAAAGAGCTGAATCACTGGCAATATGTGACCTGGCATACCCTGTGTTATCGGTTGCCACCCTGTGTAGGAAAGAGCTGAATGACTGGCAGTATGTGACCTGGCCTACCCTGTGTTATCGGTTGCAACCCTGTGTAGGAAAGAGCTGAATCACTGGCAATATGTGACCTGGCCTACACTGTGTTATCGGTTGCAACCCTGTGTAGGAAAGAGCTGAATCACTGGCAATATGTGACCTGGCCTACCCTGTGTTATCGGTTGCCACCCTGTGTAGGAAAGAGCTGAATCACTGGCAATATGTGACCTGGCCTACCCTGTGTTATCGGTTGCCACCCTGTGTGGGAAAGAGCTGAATCACTGGCAATATGTGACCTGGCCTACCCTGTGTTATCGGTTGCCACCCTGTGTAGGAAAGAGCTGAATCACTGGCAATATGTGACCTGGCCCACCCTGTGTTATCGGTTTGCCACCCTGTGTAGGAAAGAGCCGAATCACTGGCAATATGTGACCTTGCCTACCCTGTGTTATCGGTTGCCACCCTGTGTAGGAAAGAGCTGAATCACTGGCAATATGTGACCTGGCCTACCCTGTGTTATCGGTTGCCACCCTGTGTAGGAAAGAGCTGAATCACTGGCAATATGTGACCTGGCCTACCCTGTGTTATCGGTTGCCACCCTGTGTAGGAAAGAGCTGAATCACTGGCAATGTGTGACCTGGCCCACCCTGTGTTATTGGTTGCCACCCTGTGTAGGAAAGAGCTGAATCACTGGCAATATGTGACCTTGCCTACCCTGTGTTATCGGTTGTCACCCTGTGTAGGAAAGAGCTGAATCACTGGCAATGTGTGACCTGGCCTACCCTGTGTTATCGGTTGCCACCCTGTGTAGGAAAGAGCTGAATCACTGGCAATATGTGACCTGGCCTACCCTGTGTTATCGGTTGCCACCCTGTGTAGGAAAGAGCTGAGTGACTGGCAATATGTGACCTGGCCTACCCTGTGTTATCGGTTGCCACCCTGTGTAGGAAAGAGCTGAATCACTGGCAATATGTGACCTGGCCTACCCTGTGTCATCGGTTGCAACCCTGTGTAGGAAAGAGCTGAATCACTGGCAATATGTGACCTGGCCTACCCTGTGTCGTCGGTTGCAACCCTGTGTAGGAAAGAGCTGAATCACTGGCAATATGTGACCTGGCCTACCCTGTGTTATCGGTTGCCACCCTGTGTAGGAAAGAGCTGAATCACTGGCAGTATGTGACCTGGCCTACCCTGTGTTATCGGTTGCCACCCTGTGTAGGAAAGAGCTGAATCACTGGCAATATGTGACCTGGCCTACCCAGTGTTATCGGTTGCCACCCTGTGTAGGAAAGAGCTGAATCACTGGCAATATGTGACCTGGCCTACCCTGTGTTATCGGTTGCCACCCTGTGTAGGAAAGAGCTAAATCACTGGCAGTATGTGACCTGGCCTACCCTGTGTTATCGGTTGCCACCCTGTGTAGGAAAGAGCTGAATCACTGGCAATATGTGACCTGGCCTACCCTGTGTTATCGG